GGGGGTGGTGTAGGTTGTTAAGAGAGTAAGCCCACTGTGTTTTTGCATTTTGGTCAGCCAAACAATGCTGTGTCTCGATCCTTGGTGCTCTCCAGCACGCAAGGGATCCGTACCTTAATTTTTTCTATCTCTTGTTCAATATATATACCCAAGGAACTACCTACTCGTTAATTTTTTTTCAGATTCTTTAGGGTGGAGACCTGGAATCCTGAATACCCTTTTGGCGCCCCCACTTTACTGTGTGAGAAAAGAATCTCTTTCCTGCTCCTTACCTTGGCAGTTTCCCCTGAAATCGAGTTGATACCTCCCCGTTACAAAGAAGCCAGTTCTTACGTTCAGCAGTAATGGACAAGATTATTTCACGGCACTGTTTTTTGATATCAAAAGCGAGCGCGCTGTTGCAACTCATTCCGCTGTTGCACTTTTTCTTGGTTCGAATTTCTACTCTACTTTTTCTGGACGAAAACGCAAGTCCTAGAGGTCCTACATAAAAATTTACAACTGTTCCGCCATTTTTAGTTTTTATTTCGCCCCAGGCCTTCTCAGAAAGAAATATCAGAGCTGTTGATTGTTCCTTGCATAAATTATTATTTTTGCATAGATTATGAACGTATTAAAACCATAATCTGGTGTGACACGTTGAGACAAGAAAGGAATTTGCATGTGACATTAATGACCTTTGCAAATTCTCACATGTTCAGAATAATTTATTTTGTTACCATAAAATGCTGATTATCTCCTCTCACTGTGGTCTTTATTGCCAAATCTTGAGATATACTTATCAGTGTGACTGATAAAAAACAAAACACTGGGTTCAACAATTTACAAACATTACACTTGATAAAACCATAAACAATCGGAGAACCAATCGGGTAGTTTCCATAAATTTGGGGGAAAATCATGTGGCCTTGAACACGATAATTATCAAAGGCAACACACCCACACACACACCCTCTCCTCAAAAAAAAAAAATCTCACAGGGAGGGCAGCTGAAACAGGCTAATATTATTAATTTTAAGTTAGTCCAAAGAAACTATACAGCACATGTACAGATAATGTTGACCTTTTATTAAATTTCCAACATTGTTTGTCTACAATAATTATTGTATTCAATTGATATCAACTGAGAGTAATAAAATGATGTTCATAAACAAGAGACCAGTGGAAACTGAAGTAAACTGTTACTTCTTTAATCACATGCTTTCTCTGGATCCACAACATTATTAAAATGGCATGAAAAGAATGTACAAGAAACAACCGTAATGGTAATTTCATCAGTCAGATGAACAGAGAATGATCGCAGCTGAGGACCTCTCACGACCTGCATACAGCTGAATGCTACTGTAACCTGGAGGGGCAGAGGGTGTTAATTCTCGTCTTCTAAGGAACCTAGTAACTTGTCCTTTTTTCCCCTTCATCCCCTCACATACGACAACACAATCTTCTTGTCCTCTCAGAAAACAAACACAATTTTTTCCCAGGCTTCTCTCAGTCTGTCTGTCTGTCAGCTAAACTACTAGAGGGCAGGAAATTTCTCAAAATCAAACTTATACTAATGTCTTACATTGGAATGAATGTCTGATTTACTATTTGCAGATCACTGGATCTGCTGATCAATTTTGCAGTGGCAAGAAATATTCAAATACTATTACTCCCTACAGTGTGAGGTGCAATCTTCAACATCAAAAGAAAGGAAAGATGGAAAAGTGTTCATGTAAACACAAATCATAACTCCATACTGTAAATTCCCACTTAAAATATAGCACTTACATATCCCACCCCCCCCCCAACCTTGCCCTACCACCTCCCCTTCACTATGTTGTAGCTTGTATCAATATGACCTACCATGGAATGGGGTAATCTTACACAAATAACTGACATTGTTTAGAGGAAAAATCAGTATACGTTAAAGCTTTGCCGTTTTTGAAATTACCAATTTTGTCTGATAATTAGCTTTCCCTAAAAATAAACCCAAGAAAGCATCTTTTCAATGAGCATAAAACCAAGACTAATACAGGTAAGTGGGATTTTACAGTATGCACCTACAAAAACCAAAACCATAGGAGATGGATAAATATGGGGCTAACAGAGTTTTAACCCTGACGGAAGGGTTGGCTTGAGAGGGGAGGATGTGTCTTCTAAATTAGTAATGATACATTAGCATTACTCATCCCAATCTCAGCATAATGTGATTTCATTTATCTCCTACTGACTAGTCTATCTCTCCATCCTCTTCCTCCATGGCTTCCACCACTTCTGCCTGTCTTTCTTCCTGAACACTCTGCTCTTCTTGAACACCATTCTCAGGATCTCTGCTCTCACTTCTCTTTCTCACTTTCTCCGTCACTTCCCCTTGTCTCTCCTCCTTCATTTCCACATCCCCATCACCACCAGTGTTTTCAACTCTTGCCTTATTCTCACCATCACCCTCATTAGATACAGACAACCTGGCATTCTTCATTCTCTCTTCTTCTAGCTCTTGTTCCTCTTCAATTTCTGCTCTTCTTTTAGCCATTGCTCCTGAAAACAAGAGGCACACAGTAAATCACAGTGTAGTCATCAATGTTCCAGACAAGTGAGGGGTCTTGGGTCAAAAACGCGACAAGGTCACCTACATGACGCAACAAATAAATAGAAAATTTATAATGATTTGGTGGGAGCAGTGGAAATTGACCCATTGGAATTCCTTATTGACACCCAGCCTTGAAAACCTATCTGCAACCCTGAGTCATAGGAGTCTGTGCATGAAAATATAGCTGATTAGAGCACCAAGAATAGAGCTGAGTAGAGAGTCAACTACAACAAAATGGAGTGGAGTAGAGCACATTTAACAAGAATAGAATGGAGGTGAGCTGGTGAGAGTGGAGTAATCATATTGCACATTTGATGCAAGCTCCTTCAAACATCAACAGTTTCTTTTATTTCTTTTTTTTATTTGTGCAAGTTCAAGTACTGCCTTGGTTTATTGACTTACTTTTCACAGCTCTCGTTGATTCCTCTAAGAGTTTTTGTGTCTTGTCATTAAGTTTGGCTGGCAAGTAGAAGATGGGAGGGTTGGCTTTTGTCATGATAAAATGGCTCAATTTCTCACCATGTTTATCCCACTCCTCTTGCTGAAAAAGAGAATAAATAAATCAGTTTGAAGCCTGATTGAATGCGACTGATATTGCAACCCAGAAGATTGCACATGGTGCAGACTCGCCTGCAAACGCATTATATATAGTTAATGGTAGATACTTTCCTTGGAGACCACATAAAAACTGGGATGATGTAGAGAACAACTGCAATTCTTAAGGCCACCACAGGTTACCACTCTCTCCCCTCCCTCTCCCATTCTTCCTCCTCCTCCTCCAGCATTCTGTCGGATTGCCCTAACAGTTCACTGGCAGCCATTTACATTCCTGGATGGAGAGTAGTACTGTGGGAGCAAAGTGTCTTAAGTAGGAACATAATCAGGTTTGTCAAAAGCTGTTGGTAAAATCAGCTTTAAGCCACCCACTTTGAAACTCTGCAACACCCCTTAAATAATGCAATGACCCCCTTGAGCTGGATTCCAATGTAGCAACAAACATGTACACTGTAAATTTTGACAAGAATACATTATTTCATTACCAGTTCAGCCATATCAACTTTTCTCTGTAATAATCTCAATTCTGCTTGTTTTGCTCTTCTTTCTGTGAATAATTCCTTTCTTTGAGTGGACAATTCTTCTTTCTCTTTCTTTTCCGCTTCTTCAAGCTTCTTGTTTATTTCCTCTCTTCTTATGTCCTAATGGAAAAGAGGACAATTCAAAAGTAAATCCTAACAAGTAAGGAGGTATTATCAGATAACATCCATATATGTTTGTGACCTCAGTCCCACACCCTCTTACTTTTTCATCCCTTGTTGTTGAGGAGAGAGACCCTGGTAGTGGCTGGTTTAAGCCTAATGACCAAGCAGGCCAGTGTTTATCTCTTGTTAATTCCGTATTTTCGTACATGTAACATTGAGTGACTAGAATCACTGCTACTTCCCTTATACACAAGAGTGAAGAGAGGCATTGTGAGGGTGCTCTGTTGCCCAAGAACACAACACAATGATCATTGCGGCTCCAACCTGGTTCCCTCAATCTAGGGCTCAGTGCACTAGCAATTACGCCACTACAACCCCAGCTTCGATCATTAAACATGACAATATTAAAACTTAAATATGCAGTGGGGAAAGACTTGTGTTATCACCTATCAAGTTTATCAATACCTTCTCAGTCTTCTGAGAGCTATCATCTTTGAACTTTTGAAGAGTGCCCAGCAACATGCCAAACATTCTCTTATTTCTGAGAAAAAAACAAATAAAGGTAAGTCATGTATTATATACATTTTACCTTTATAATTATTCACCCTGGGTGAAAAGGGGCACTGTGAGGGTTAAGTGACTTGCCACACAACACAGTGACCCCAGTCAGAGCATGAACCCGGAGTACAGTGCTTGATGCAAAACCAACACTCAAAATGCTACACTTTACAGAGATCAGAGTTCTTCTGTGATTCATGGCTAAATAAAAATTAAATTTTACATTTACTTCCAAAGTATACTGGACTAATCATTGGATCACTGTGTTTGCTACAAAAAAAAAAACAGTCTTAGAAGCAACAAACCCTTTGAAATGAGCTGTCCCTGAAATTCATCTGCAATATAATTACTTAGATCAGCTCATAATGAGCAATATACAGGTAATAAATTTCTCACGAGTATAAGCCAGCCCCCAGTGAACAATTTGAAGTTTATATTGTTATGTACAGTGTTTCAATGTGTCCAGAGACACTTCTTAGGTTTTGGAAGTTTTATTATAATTCATCAGAGTAATGCAGACAAGTTGGTGGCTAGGTAGGTGAAAATAATAACAAAAATTGCTCCAAGTATACTGGAACAGGAAGCCAGCAGTATCTGTTTTCCAAGTCTACAAAAGTCATGTAGACTGAAAGTAGGAACTGGTTTTAGTGGCACATTACGAATGAAGGGGAAGTGCGAGTACTGTGTAGTGTAGTATTATTAATAATAATCAACAAGAGTGTGGTGGTGGTGCCAGTGGACAAACCTTGACTTTGTTTTGTCATCTGTTTTAGTAATAACATCTCTCTTGAGGCGAGATGGCGCAGGCGTAGCCACAACTGATGACTGGATAGCAGGCTGTAAAAGATAATGTTAATTTTCTTTATGAAGATAATTCAAGTTGTAAATCAAAAGACATGAATATTTGTCATGATCTTTTAAATCTCTCCTTACAACATACATGTAATCAGTATATGGTCAAAATCATCAATATTTAGGAGGCCTTGCTTTACCAAAGGTATTCTTAAAAGTTTTAAAAGAAATAGATAATGACATCAAGGAGATGTGCTGTTTTAACCTTGAAATAGAAAATGTTCACTTAAGACTGATTACCTTGTCTGTATCATCATCTTCTTCTTCGCCTTCACTATCCAGACGCGAGGAAGGGCGGTTTCGGTCCTGTGAAGTCCTTGTCATTACCACACGACTCCAGAGTCTGTTACAATAAACAAGTAAATTACATGTTATATTCCTACTTGAAAATGTCAAACCGAACAGGTTTGTACAAATAGACCAGACCTGCATTATTGCTAGAAAACACCAATCAAAATTTACAAGCTGTACAGTATGCTTCGGCGGACAGACAAACCTTCCTGGTGCACCAGATGAATCACGTCTTTTAGTTGCTGGTCCTTGCCCCAGTGCCATGCTCCTCTCTGGGAAGTCCCTCTTCAGCATCACACGCCGTCCTGCTGCAGGTCTGAATCAAACACAATACATTTTATCCTGAGCTCCAAGAAGAGAAAAGCCTTGGGTTAGTTTTTGGGCCCTGAGTAACACCTTGCCTAAAGCCACCCTGTTACCTATTACAACCAATTACCTTTGTCATAATGAAAATATCTGTCAGTCACATATGTTGGTGGTTTAATGGTGGTCAGATTAAGAAGGTTTCATGACTGTAAATAGTAAATCGAACTTTGTTGACACATAAAAATAAATAAGTTTTAAAGTGTATACACGTGGAAAAATGCCTGGATCACTACCAAAGGGACGGATATTAGACTCCGATCAACACTTTTTGAAAAGCCAGGTGCTAGCTGTCGCTATGGTTCTTGAATTCCCTTAAAATTTTCAGTTTTCATGAGTTGATTTCACCGCAACAAAGATCTGTACTCGTTCTATAATTCAGCCGCAACATTGCAGAGTGCAGATGAAAAGACAATAAGTACGCTTACAATGTAAGATAAGATTAACAAACTGAAACTAAACAAGCTAAGCCTACTATTTACAGAAAGATGCAGATAATGTCGAGAAACGAGTCAAGCTGTCCAGGGACTCTTCACAAAGCGTAAATTAAACTTCCTCCTCTCGGTTAACTTTGATTACGAAAGCAGCCCTTTTACCTGAATTCCGAAGGATCTCTTCCGGTAAGTTTCTTGATGTTTTCATCCACGGATTTAAGCCCTTCCCTCGCTAATTCTAGGTCGCGTTGTAGCTCCGCCACCGACGCCATCTTGCTTCTTCAAGATCGCGTGCAAGTCTAAGACCGCGATATTATATGGTCAGCGTCACACTAGGTCCAGTCTCCATGGTCTCTCAAATTCATTCGGACGTGAAACGCCTTGCAGTAAACGTATTATAGGGCTGTCGACGATTTTCCATATTATGATTGTAGGTACAACAGGTTTTACACATTCTTAGGCAACACTTCATTTCATTTGGTATGAATTTAAAACAGCGACCGCTACTAGGAAAGTGGTCATATGAAGTACACCCCTCCCNATTTCTAAGTCAGTGTTGAGGAGCTTGGTGGGTACAGGATGCGTGTTGCTGGACTGAAGAACACTTATGATGTAAGCTTACTTCAAAGGGAAATAATAATAGTAGCTACAGGTGTACAAGCTGGGGGAGCAAGGGGGGCTGCAGCCTTCCCCCCCCCCCCCCCCCCCGCCACACACACACTCCCATTTATCACTTCTTATTTTGCGTTTATTATCTACTTAGTCTTTAACAGCATTGAGAAGACAGATATGCGTCAAAGGAATAACTCAAAACATTGGAAAAAGATCATTTTACATGTGGCTAAACTTTGTTTTCAACAGGTATAAAAAATATTTTATTATTAGTTTATTATTTAAGCTTGTTAGTTTATTAGTTGACTTGTTGACAAGTGCAAAGGGCGTGTTAAAAGTAAAAGGTTTGGGGTGTGAGAAAGAGCAGCAAAAAAAGGAAAAAAGGAGGAGGAGGAAAAATAAACTTTTCATCTCCTTTCCACTTTTTTGTTGCCGCTTTAACAGCCCCGATAAAAAATTATGTGCTGACAGCTGGTAGAGTGAACACTATTAACATGAAACTGTTTACATTTTTCATAGAGTAGATGAAGGACGAATAGAAGAATTTGGTCCAGACAGGTAAAAATTGATGCAAATATATGAAATATTAGAAGGATTAGGAAGGAAAGACTGTCATGATCTTCCTACTGGTGAAATAAAATCTTTTTTTTTTCAGACATACAGATCTTTTGAATATGCAAGTTTAAAAAGGGAAAAGGAAAACCTTTCATTTGGACTGCAAACAGCTGTATTTTTTGTAAAACTTGGGCAGTCTATGTATGAAAGGTCTGGCACCTGTCAAAACAGTGGATTGCACAGGAGGCACGTGCACTTTGTACATGAAGATCCCACTTTAAGCACTTTGTGCCGAACAAGAGTGAAAAATTACTGATTTGTAGTTAACTTTCAATTCTTTGTATTATAAAGTGGAAATTGCCTCACTGTTATCCTCTTCAAGTTGTTCAGTTAGTTGGGGTGCTGCGGCAAATATGGTGGAGCAAAAAAAGGAGATTCAGAGAGGCTTGGTGCCTTCCAGTGATGCGCTTCTTCCCCATTTTTTTGTGTGCTATTTTTCACTCTGCAACCCATCAAATCAAATGTCTGGAAGAGGCTTCCTGACTGTGTATCTCACTTTTCATTTTCCTTGTATGATTATTCAGGGTAGCAGCAGAGTGGGTGTTACGTTGTGGAGGTGGAGTTAAATTCAAGAATCCTGAAAAATGGATTTGGGACTATAATGCCATACCAGACGGGCCAAAAGGAAGACTTGCATTGGAAGCAATCGATGCTAAAGGAATAAGTGTAACAACCGGTGGCCTTCAACATCTTGGTAATTATATGTTAAAATCTTGCCCTGCTTTCATTTTGTTGGTATGGTGGCCTCGTGGTTTGCATGTTACACTTTGGCTCAAGTTGCCTAGGTTTCAGCTGGCTAAGGTCATTGTACTTCCCTCCACCCTGATGTATAAAAAGGAATAAGGCTGTTCTACTAATTAAGTAGTACCCATTGATACTCCCATTGGGAGTGGCAAATTAGTAAGAGTAAAGAGTCCTGCCCACAAAGACAATACAATGACCACAACAGGGCTCAAACCAGGAGCATGTTTTTTGATTTCCAATATACCATTTAAACTTTTACATCGACCTCACTGTGTTTTCAATAGCTAGAAAGTAGAGCAAACCTAAACATTTCCTCCTCTCTATTTCAGTTGGACTGCAACATCTTAAACAGCTGAACGTAAACAGCTGTATGTATGTAACTGATGTGAGCAAACTTCTGCCTGTGAAAGAAACCCTAGAGGAGCTGGACATTGGGAACTGTGGCAGTATATCTGATATATCACCACTCTCAGAACTAAAGTAAGTGCAACTTAATTCTCTCTTTCTTGCAATGCAAGCGTATTTTGGTGAGTGAGGCATTTTGATCAAGTGAGCACCATCTTGGATTCAAACTCGAAGGAGGCTTGAAGAGAGATGAAAAAGTGTTCTAGGGAGTAGGAGTGAGGGGAGGGGGAGGGGAAGGAAAAATTTCCCCTACCCACCCAGTTTTCCTAAGCCAACATGGCAGCAAACCTATTCAATCATGAGCTAACACGAATAACTTGTGAACACATGGAAAATGTCTGCACTGCAGGCTAACTTCTCCCCATTCCCATCCCCCATATTCCTTACCCCCAGCGACCCCACCATCTCTCTGAGCTCTCTGGATCAAGGACCACCCAACCCTACTATTTAACTATTCAAAATAGGATATGAACCTTTTCAAGTCTTTATTATTTAATTTTAAATTGATATATTTTTATACCAATCCCCTTACTGATAAATTCTTGTTGTTTTGACACATCTGCTCTCCTTTTGTTACAGAAAATTGACAAAGCTCAACCTTGTAAACACACCAAGCATAAAACAGAGAGAAGAGGCAATCACAACATTACAGAAAAGACTCCCTGACTGTGTCATTGAAAAATAAAATGCCAAGTTTTGCATATTTCACATATTTCACATATTTTCAAAGAAATGTTACTTACTGAAAATTGCAAATATTGATACCCAGCTAAAATATCCAGTCTTTCAGGATTTGCAAAACTGAATTAGTTTCCACAAAATAGGAAAAAATTTCTGATCTGCAAAATTGAACTCGACCTGCAAATATTTCGTGTCACACGCTACTTTCAACAATCAATTTAAAACAACTCTAATGCAAGGTAAAAATAAAGATGCTGATGAGATCCCCTAAAATAAAATATATATATATATATATATATATATATATATATATGCACCCCTACTATGAACAGTGAGTGTAAAATATGAAAATACTAAATAATTTTACCCACTAAACCATTATGGGTCCGTATACCCTCCTCAGTGGCCTGCCATCTATAATCCTATTTCTTTAGCTCATCTAGTACCTGTACTAGTGGAAATATTAATACATTAAAATAAATTCTAAACCCTTACTCAGCTTTCAAAATATTCTTAAATGTATAAATTAGTAATATTGATTCATTTTACACAGTTTTTTTAACATTTTTGAACAGGAAAAACTACTTGGTGTCATCACCAGAGCGAAAAATCCTTCTCGACTTACATGAAGAATTTGTTTTAAGTGTTAACACTTTGGATTCTAGATGTATAAGTAGAATAAATCAATATGACTGACAGAATTTGGCAGTCTATTGTATTATGTCCCTAAAATCTTCTTCCTTAAATTTTCCCTTATCTTTAATGTTCCTTCGATATCCTTGAAATCCAAAACATCCTTCATCGAGAGGTATCTCTGCACAGCTCCACTGTTTCCTTCCTTAATTTTTGATCCATTCTTCAAAGCATTCAACATATTTAATGCATAACAGGTAGATTCTCTACAGCTTTCAAACACTGGAAATAGCTTTACTTGCCACAAGCTCACAATCTCAAGATCTGAATCCTGCAAAAAAATCCAATTATGATAGACAAGATGAGAGAGAATTGGAACATACCCCACACACCCAGGCGTTTTTTTTAATGTGTATTAATCCCTGCTTCATAGCTGTTTGTTTCTTGTGAAGAATTCATCCATTCGTCAAGAGGTGATCAGAGTGGTCCAATAAATATGGGTTAATGACCACGCATGAGGTCAAGATGGGTGAATACTGGCAAAATTCTTTTTTTGTGTGTTTATGGACCTTGACTCTATCTCGGTCCATAAACACGCAAAAAAAGAACGAGGCCAATATCCAGCCATCTTGACCAGTAAGCTTGGTCAATAAAGGATTTATTATACAGCTTTTTGGGAATTTTTTCTTGTGGGACACAGCAAGTCTTGAGTGGGCAAGAAAGCACCATCTTCCCTGTTCAGGTAGCCAATTACAGTGGAGGATTTGGTTCATCTTGCTCACTCCCGGAGCTAACCATATAATAATCCCTCTTAATCCCAATTCAATAACTTATTAATAAGCAAGGTGACAATTCAAGCCATTTTCTGGGTTAAGGGTATGTGGCTCCTTTGAACTTGTAGTCATGTACTTAAGGAAATGATGTACATGTACCTGCTTCATGTCTAACAATGATAATGCTTTATCAAGAGGCCAACCAAAATACTGCAGCTTCCCAAGGTCTTCTGATCTTGTCATCTTTTTTACATTGTCTTTGACACCAAACACAATGGTTACATACAACCCTGCAACATCACCAACTTCAACACAGACTGTTGTCATGAAAGCATTGTCAGGAATACATGCCCCAGCAGGAATCACTACATTGCTGATAATGCAGTTGTTGCCAACAGAGGACTCTTCTTGGATATCGCAGTACTCCAGTACTGTTTGCTGTCCCACTTTGGATGGCATTGTTTGGTGACAGTGTATAAGACATCTTTGCTCAGTGGTGATTTTCTCCTCACTGAGTCCACTCCTTGTTACCATGACTTCTGAGAGAAAGTGGCTTTCAAACCTGGCAAGCACAACAAAAGAAAACAGAGGAGGAAAAAATCAAACTATCAAACTTTCAAAAATGTTTCACCTTTTGACTCTAAGGAATCATTATTCAGTAATTTAAGGGATAATTAAATCCTCACCGAAAAACATCATTTTCACAGAAATAATGAATATATTCTGCAGTAGTGCCTAGATGATAGAATCTGGATTCATTAAGCAACAGTACATTCAGCTGTGTTCCTTTCAAGAAATTGAATATCTTCTTCCTTTTTTCTACCAATGAAGAAGTTTCCTTTGTGACATTGGCAACATTCTTAGTGTAATCGGCAGATGCCTCGGATCCAAGAGCTTGAAGGAAGTCACCATAGGCATCAATTTCACAGTCAATTGGCTTGATTTCATCTGAAAAATCATATAGACTCTTGGCTGTCTTCCAGTCCACGAAAAATACACTATCAGTGTAAACATGTTCTTCACCGTTCTGAAGAAAAGTAATCTCATGTTTTCTCATTGTTTCTTCTGATGGTTTGTGAAGGAACTTCTTACATGTTGTTTGAGCAATGGAGCATCTACTCTGATAAACAAAATCATAGATAATGTTTTAATCAACATTAATTTTATTCCATTTTAAAACATTAATATTTATTAGTTGAGTAAGTTAATTGGGACTTGTATCTTCCAAATTATGATTGGGAAACTGTCACTTTTTCATAGTCCAGGAAAAATGATGACAAGTATACTGATTGATTGATTGACATAAAAAATGTCTTCTTAGGGTACCGGTACACAAAATATTATTGCTGTCCCAGTACTTTACAATGTGGCCCTAAGATTGATTTGCTGATTGATTGATTGATTGATTGATTGATTGATAAAAAAATTGTTTGATTGATTGATAAAAAAATTGTTTGATCGATTGATTGATAGATAAAAAAATTGATTGATTGATTGATTAATTGATTCAAAACCTTCAGAAATAACCAAAAATGGAAAAAAGTGAACCTTTGCACTTAGTTTGCATATCTGTAACCAAAAAATTACTCTATTGTGAGCAGCAAGCTGATCTAATGGTTAGTGGGCTGAACTCTGCATTGAAAGGTGTAAGTTCAAGATCAGGCAAGGGACACTGTGTTGTGTTCTTTGGAAGGATACTTTTAATTAGTCCCCCAATGCCGCTCTCCATTCAGAAGTGTATCAAGTGAGTATCATCGAGTCATCAGCCTGGACAACCTGGCAAACTGCTGGCAGGGAGGGAGGGGTGTGGAGTTAGCTGCGATGGACTAGCATCCCATTTAGTGACAGTACTTAACAATATTACGCTGCTTCAAGATGCAGAGACTAGGGATATGTGCCAACAATGATGTTATCTGGTTGTCCCTTATAAACATGAATCTGTTTTGTGGGGTAGTAAGTAATATAATTTATTAGAAGATGTAATAACCTCAGATGCTTGACCATCACTGAGTGCAAAGACACCATGGGTTGTACCAATAACAATTGGAGAAGGATGAGCCAATGCTGTGAAGCCTGGCTTTGTGAAAGACAAATCTCCGTCACTGTTGAACAGCACCAGGATATCTGAAGCCACCACAAAGATACCAGGATTCATCTGTTCAGGAAATTCAATGAACAAAGCCAGCTGGAGCTCTACCATTTGAAAGGGAGGATCACCTACCAAAATAATGAAACAGTTATCAAGCTTGGAAATAACACCAGAAAATTCTGACAAGCGAACCTGCAGCTCCTAGCCTCCCTCCTGTTCTTCCCTATCATTCTTATAATAAGTCCTTCTAAATATAAGCCTAAAGCCAGTTACAATCTATTCTAAGTATAAAGCCCCCCTCTATAGATCGTTTTCACTCATGCAGCATGCAGCTATGCAAATTTATTAGAACAAAAGAAAGTGTTTACAAAAGAAAAGACTTCAACTCCCACAGGATTGGTCTGGAACGCCAATGTGGCTGGACACATGGCCTCCTGTTCATTGTTTTGGAACACCAACATGGTTGCTGTGAAGTCCATGTGAAAACACTCTACATACTGGTGTCTCTTTGCAGTGACTTCTGGTGCTCATATGAAGACAGAACTCGTTTAAGTTTTGAAATGCAAAATTCTTTCCCACAAGGAGTCCACTATAACATTATCTTTAGTTATCATCAGAATTTTTAAGGCAAATTTCTTTAGAAAATATAATTACAAAGATTTTCAGGTCATCAAAACGGTATAAACTACACAGTGTATACATCAGTTCGCTATTTATTTATGTCAAATTTCTCTGTATAATCTTTGGACTTCTTGTAGTAAATTAAGTAGCACTTTAATTAAATTGCACATTACTGTAAAACTTACATATTTCCCTTCTCACCCTGAAAATAAAAAGATATCCCTGCCACGTCTCAGTTTTACATTAATTTCAAGGACAATTAAATCCTTTCTTTTTCTGAAAACAATGAAGAGATCCCCTCTGAGAAATTAAAATTACCTGCACATGTGGCCATATTTTAATTTTTTAAAAATTAAGAAGTAAACAAGGCTGAAAAAACCCCGTTAAACTGCGTAAATATAATAAATATTGAATTTCAACAGAATTAATTTTACAGGTAAAAGCACAAGATAAACTATAAATTATTAAGCTTAATCATAAACCTACCAAATGGAAGAGCGGTGAAAGCTTTTCCCAGGACGCTGGCGTTGGGCAGTCTTTGGCTGTAGCCTCCAGCGGGAAACATGATTATTTTCGAGTTCACTAACTCCTCCTTGTCATAAATCTTTAACAGGTCACCAACAGTGACCAGGAAAGAGCCTCCGTTACCTATCTTTGGTCCAGGCGGATCATAGAACACATGATATTTCACTCCAAGTGGAAGCTCCCCGCGGGCAAGTTTGGACTGCAGTTGAATTTCGTAAGCGTTTTTCTGGCTTTCATCCAGAGCGGTAATCACAACTATATCCCAGAAGGCGATATCTACCTTTTTTCCTCGGATTGATTCAAACTTTTTGAATTTACTTTCCGTAGATCTTCGTATATTGCGACTAGTTTGCGAGAACTTTGCTTCCGCCATCTTCGTTTCGATCGAGTGATTTGGAGAACCAAATGAAGTCTGGAACAGACTAGAGCCCAGCTCTTCGCGTGTGGTCACTAAAATGGCGGACGTCGAGTCACTGTTTGACTTTGTTCACATGGAAATTGTCGCTTATTTCACAAACAGACCGGGGAAAAATATAGATGTGAGTATTGTTTCGATTAAAAAGCGTTCTCAGTTAAGTAGATGTGTGATGTCCTTTGTCTTTCTTGTCGCAAAAAATTACGTTCTAAAAAATGTGAAAAATGATCTATAGTTCTCAGGCGATCATGAATCGAAGTCCCATAACAAACTGAAGCTTTTGTATTTGTGTGTTTTCCTAGAATGATGTTATACAAAATCTTGAACGTCTTGGATTTAGTGTTGGTCAGAGACTGGTAGAGAGGCAAGTATATTTCTTACTCTCTAGAGTAAGCTTACATGTTATATGATTTGCATTCAGCTTCCTGCGGGTCGAAAACATGCTAAAAATACAGTTTCATATAAATGTTATGTATAGTTTTATTTTTCTACATGCACGGGGTTCAGTCCAGCCTGTGGCTTTCTCTAAGCGTTCTTCAAGGTTTCATGTGGAACAGCAAGCTCCAAGTGCGAGATGCACTTGGATGTTACGTCTTGCATGTGGCTAGTAGTACCTTGAGGCAATCCTTTACTCTAAACTTTTAGCAGCTACACCCAGAGGTGGATCTAGGGGGAGGGTGCAGGGGCTCCCCCACCCCCTCAGATAAAGCCTTCTTCTTCGTATTTGCTTTTAAAATTTGTTTCCCTCACCAGTCAGTTACACCATTCCTTAGTGGTGCATCCCATCCTAAGAAAAATCCTGGATCCGCCCCTAATACCTGTAGTGTACCCAGGGCAGCTTCATTGTTTTATCTGAAGATACGGTTGTTTTGCTTATCTTTTCTGTAGATTCACAAAGGATTCCCCTCGCTTCAAGGATGAACTTGAAATTATGAAGTATATCTGTAAAGACTTCTGGACTGCTGTTTATAAGAAACAAATTGACAATTTAAGAACAAACCACCAGGTAAAATTGATTGTGCAGTTTTAATGAAGTGTTCCATTAGCATTTCCCCAATTTTTTCCCCCCAAAAATGGGGGAAAAAGGGTAGGGGAGGGGAGGGGAAGACTTAAACCTCTCACTTTGCACATCTTTGCCTTGCAGTTCTTGTCCCCTCCTTGATCTTTTTTGGACTTTCTATCGATCTTCTGGTTCCTACTACCTTTAAAATCTTATTTTTCAGTCCTCCGGTTTGGGCTGAACACCTCTTCCTTCTGGGTTCCAACCCTCTCCCCATCACAGCTGACAATGAAAAGGTTTATTCTTGAGTATTCGTGATTCTCAATAGTTCTTTTCATTTTATTTTGTAAACGAGTAACAGTTACTATTATCACCTTAACTAGTAAAGAATAAACAGCCTGTAGTCTTGTATGCATTGCTCAAGGGTCAATATACATCCAAACATAAGCTCAATAACTAATTCAGTGGTAGCTAATTCCTTATTCAACTCAACAATGTGTATTTTGTTCCAAGGGTACTTATGTGCTTCAAGACAATAACTTTCAGCTTTTAACACAAATGTCAGATGGCAAGCAGTATACAGAGGATGCCCCAAAGGTAAAGAATCAATACTGTTTATCAGTCTTTGCTCTGGGTGAAATGCAGGAGCCTGTGTTTGGTCAATGTTGTGGATTTTGTAAAGGATTAGTGCAATAATTATAGGACAGAGCATCATGACCCTCATGTTCTCTCAAAATGCAAGATATCTCCACTAAAACAAACAAACCTTAAAAAGACTAAAAATCTAGATATAAATGCAGTGAACTGTTGCATACAGGTGAACCTTGGCTCACAGACACCTTCTGTAGGTAGACAAGTCTTGTAAGCAGACACTGATTTTGTATTCTGGGTTCAAGCTACTTTATAACACGTTACATTTTTAACCTCTCATAAGCGCATGCCTCTCTTTTGCATCCCAAGCATGGCCACCGAAGGCTGCACTGTCCATTGTGTTTTTCCTGCTTGTGAGCGATAGATCAGCAACCAATTTCTAATTTCTTTTTATGAATTTTGTTCTTACAGTTCTTAGCCTTTCCGAGTGGTCTCATAAGAGGAGCTCTGTCAAACCTCGGATTGACATGTTCAGTTACTGCTGACGTGTTATCCATGCCTAAATGTAGGTATACCATAAATAATGTGCATACCCCGCCCTAAGATATAATGCCCCCAACATTCCACCCCCAATCGATAAGACACAACTGTTATCGGTTGTTTAGCCCCCAAGTCGATTAGCCCCTAGCTGGTTAGCCCCCAACCAGAAGTCAATTAGCCCCCATTCACGCTTAAAGAACGAGAAATAGACAGTGTTTTCGACTTCTGGTTGGGGGCTAAACGTTTAGAGGCTAATAAACATGGGGACTAAACGACCAGATATTGACATAACGCCCCCTACAAGACATAACACCCCTATCGTAACGTGTAACGCCCCCTAAAGTCTTGGACGCAAAAATCTCTACGATAATACGACAGAAAGCCTTCAACTGTGGACTTTATGTTTAGAGAGTTTTACAATGTGGTTTTCTTGTGCATACCTAAATATTTCAAATGCATATAACCCCATTTGAGCATTTAACAAAACCTCAATCCTGTTCTCGGAAATATTCCTACCAGAAAAGACTTTTAAACGAATGTAAGACCTGATATAAGTCTGGCGCTTATAATCAGAATTTTACGGTTACACTACTTGCAAAAATTTCGGACGATTTTAATTTCGGACAAAAAAAAAAGTGTTCGACAATAAAACCGTCCGAAATTTTTAAGCGTCCGAAATATTTACAGTACAGTTTAAAACTTTAAAGTAACTCCAAAGCTCTTAGTTTCCTTTATGGAGCGAACTCTAGTTGAGACAGTGCTTGAAATACTTAACGGCTTGATACAGTTTGTGTTATTTCCTTGTCGGTGTATCTGTAAAACCTTGAGGGTGCTGTAAAACTATCATTTTCACATTTGGTGTTTCAGTCTGATTCGTGTTTCGTTGGCGTAAATTTACTTTAGCTATGTGTCAGGAAAGTGTTCGGAATTTTGGTCCGGAATTTGTCCGAAATGGGATAAAAAGTACCCGAAAATTAAGCGTCCGAAATTTTCTGCAAGTAATGCGTGTGTTATTATCCACTTATAGTTAATCGGGAGATCAGTTGACATTTTTAGCAAATCCTTGCATAAGTAACCAGCGTATATACCAGACTGATTGTTACTCTTCAACTGATTACTAGTGAATTATTAAACCTGTCTCGTAAAACGAAGGAATCTACTGCTAAAATTGAGTCTAATTTTGTCTCTATCTTTTCCACAGGTAAATTTCAAATTGTGATCCCTAAATCTTAGAAGTCAACCAATATTGGTTAGGACTAACAAGCTGATGTTGAAGATCGGTGATGCAAAATCACTAGAGAAAGGAAACGAAGAAGACTACACAGGATGGGCTATATATAGAACCCTCGACGGAAGACAGCTGTGTTCAATTCTCATCAACTTCGTTTATGTAGTTTTACTTAACAGATTGTAAATAATATTATGAAATAAAAGTAACATAGACAGGGCTAATTCACCCCGCAATTTTGCTGGGAATGTGTTTGTCACTGAGTAAAGCTCTTAGCTTATAATGTAGTTCATACCCCATACCCTGGCGTGAGGTTTTGAAATCTGTACGCCATTTCGTGCCTTAAGAGGTCAACCTTATTACTTCATTTTTAATGCTATCGGAATGATTCAATGTCCACCCAATGTGTTCGACATTAACGTTATCAAGCACACCTCTTTTGGTTGGTTCTGTTTCTTTATTGGTTTATAGCTTGTCACGGGTTATTTTGTTAACATGATTGATGCAAGGATGCCTTTATAAACGAACCGTCTCGAGGGCCAGCTTAGAATTCTTCACAAAATGGTATATCTGCACGTAAATCAAGTGTCGTGTGGTGTTTTCAATGAGCTTGCTATGCATTGCTCGTGTGGTGAGACCCGCTTTCTTGCTTGTTACTGTTTGTTTCGTTAGAAATCTCCTCTTTAAAGATCGTACTTCGAAGTCGCTGAAAAATAAAATTAAAAAACTGTGGTTTTACTGTTGACGTGACAATGAGAATCTGAGTAAGTTCGTGTTTCTTAGTTTGAAAACAAGTTGGTACCACAATAAACCACATCGAAGAACTTTCAATTGTACTTGTACCGTACTTGACCGTCTTGTAAACGACGCTCTCAGGTAGAAGCACTTTGAGCTCTGCAGTAAGGGCAGGTTTGGCAGATATGTTCTGTTCATGTCTTTCTCAATTTCAAGCAAATGAAGTTATTTCAGTTCAGTTCTTATGTAGTTTTCAACCTCGGGTACGTTTTTAGTATGTTCTTAAAATTTTAGTCTTTCTTGAGACGTTCTTACAAAAAAGGTTCCGACAAGAGTTTGGATGGCTGTAATATGAAAGAACAACAGTCGTTTTAACAATCATAACAACGGTCCTTAATTTAAGTCCAAACCGACCAAAGACAAAATACTAAAAACTTCACACACCTCAAAGGCTGAGCCTTCAGCTTCACAAAGTACACGGACAGCGGTGATGGGTATACACGACATAGAACAACAGGCTATGATCCAACCCAAACCCTCTGCCCATTTGGGGTATTTTTTGCCCTCGTATGCCGGAGGTTGGTACTTGGCGACGCTAAACACAAAGATTCCCTAGGATTAAAGGCAAATAAGTTAATGCAAGAGAAGATCAATTGCAAGGTAAGTACCTCGATCTTCTCCGTGCTAATGGTATCCGCTTAAGTCATTGGGAATAGAGCAGTTTTCGAGTATTCCGTTTGCTTAACTCCAATTAGATGCACGTGACATTTTCTTCACTCTTGCTACCGTTTTCTCTCCTTTCCTGCGTTTACCGCCGGTTACTTGTTTTTCCCGTTCCTATCAACGGTCACGTCTTTTTTTCTTTTGCTCCGAGTTCTGATTGGCATAATGAACTGTCAACTAGTAATATTATTGGCTGTGCTATTATGTGGGTTTCAGTTTTACTCCTGTAGTGCTGTATTGTAGCCTGCTTCAAAGACACTCTACACGGCCGGTACATCAAGGATTTTGTGGCACGTCTGGCTGCACCGCGAGCTTCAGTTCAGTAGCAGCTTTTTGAAAACTTCTCCAATACAATGACTACACAAGAATAACTAAAGGGCTCAAATCACAAGAAGTGGAATAACGACGGATAGAAACGGTGGACCTGATATGCGTTTCAGTCAGAAAACACCCTCTCTGAAAGCTGCGCTGACTGAAAAGCCTTAGATTGGAGCCTGCGGCTCGTGTCCAGGGTATTTATCATTTTCCCAAACTTCCACTTTTGTTTTCTATCTTTTCAAGTCAACTTCCACTTACAATCACCATCAAGAAAGTGATGAACTTCCAACACATGATCCACCACTTGGATACACGGCGTCCTGTAGTTCTCTCGATACTGCTGGCAAATCTTTTTGTGCCTGTAGCGTACACGGAAAGGACTAAATTGTGAACCATGTTTGGTAAACAAAGCAAATATCAACCGTGAGATCTGTTTTGAGCAGTATACAAACTTGTTGCTGTTAAGAGGGAATCAAAATGAATGAATACGCGACATCAAAATGTTATGCAAAATATAAAATCTCTGCCACTCAATCATGGCTTGCCTCCCCCAAACGGGGGTAGGTTTTGTGAAATCTGTACACAGATCATGACATTGAAAGTATTCTGAGTGAGTTTAACATTAAAATGGTTGAGCTTGAGTTTCAGTGGTCCAGTAAGGGCGTGTACAAGCTAAATTTTTGATAAGTCCGTGGAAACGTTTTAATAACTAGAAAACATAAAACTGCTAGGGTAAATCAGAAATGGCATGCTAAAGTGGTTTGACCTACTTAAAAAATATATATTCAAGTGACTGTTGTGCTGATTGGGAAACTGTAAATGAATAAACAAATATTTGAAATAGAACATAAACTATTTACAAAGCGCGATCGAGGAGTTGAACTCGGGGCTACCGAGAACAAATCCAGATAGTGCTAGGGTGGAGCATTTGAACCAGGGGCCTCCAGATTTCAAATCCAGCGCCCTAAACTCCTCGGCCACTTAACTGGAGCGGCAGGTGGACACTAAACAACAGATTTCACTGCGACTGTTCTTACCATAAATCCAGCCAACAACAAGCAATTCAAACAGCACCAAAAATAGCAGTGAGATACCAGCAGAGAACGAATCAAGTAAATTGAACACGTAAATGCCACCCTGAAAATTCAAAAAGTGACACAAAATCAAGAGCCACCGTGAAGGCTGACACATACTTTTATGACTCTAAGGTTTTTGCCTGTAACATGAACGGGCAGGAAGTTGCGGCGTTTTTTGTTGGTTTGTCTGCAACCTCGTTCCCAGGGTCCTGAGAAAAAGAGAGGATCCTGGGAACGAGGTTGGTTTGACTGTAAGAGGTGGCTGAAGGTGTCTGATTAGTTCTTTAAGAATGACAACCAATAAGAAACGGCATGGAGGATCTCTGTATAGTGATGTCATCACTATGGAGATTTTCGCCGACATGTCTAGTGTCTCTGCAGTGTCTGAAACAAAATGGCGGTCTTAAAGAGATGCCTGTTGACTCGCTGATTTGTTCCGTCTCGTTCTCACCTGTGTCACGCAAGGCAAACCCAGAACAAACATCACCAGGCACACTGCAAGTACAACAGCCTCTCTGTATCTTTGTAGATGTTCCGGATATAGATCTATAATAGCAGCAGCCACTACTTCAACTTGTCCAAACTATTCAAAATAAAATAAAATAAAATAAAATAAAAGCAAGGAACCAGGGAAACGCAAACAGCTACAGCGTTGAAATATTCATTCCATACGCATTTTGCCCCGCCCCACCCCTGTACAATGTTGACAAAGCGCTTTCATCTAACACAAGTTTGCATTTTACCAATTTCAAACTTTGAATGGGGGATGGGGGTGCTGACACTTATTCTGTAGCTATTATTATTATGATTTTATATTTTTACGCATGGCTGTAGCCATTTCTGATTTTGCGTTTTTATGAGCAACTTGTTAAAGTTTTTTTTTGTGTGTTTTCAAAGTAACCGAGTGTTGAAAATATAACTACTCGGGTTGCGTTTTCTGACTTACCTCAATTTTCTATTTTTACTGTTACTGTGACGATATAGATCGAAGGAAAAAAATGAAATGTTTTCATCTGTTGTCGTTACAAAGATCATCATGTTAAGTAATGCATCAAGAACCCCAGTCGTTAGGCAGAGTTATGAATGAAAGGCATCGTAAGGAATCCTGAATATTCGATCTCCTTTAGCTTCCTTTGGAAACGTTGACCAATCGTCATCTGAAAACACTCACCTGACTATCGAGGCCCAAGGTTATAAGCATCAGAAAGAAGACCACTGACCAGATCTGGGGCACAGGAAGCTGTGCTAAGGTGGCTGGGTAAACGATGAACACTAGTCCGGGACCTTCAAATTTAACAACAGAACGGATACATTAGTTTTCATTGACAATTGATAAAGAAATTTTCTCCAAACAGGATGATCGGATTTATAATCGTGAAATTAAGTGTTAATCTTACTATACCTTGCGAGGCCACTTTTGCCGGGGTGCTCCCAAGTATATGCGCCATATGACCAACTACAGCGAACACCACAAATCCCGAGAACACACTTGTACCACAGTTGACGAGTGAGATGAACAAGGCGTCCCTGGATGAAAACACTCAGTCACTCAAGTGCATTAAATTTTGTCAAGATTAAGATTTTATCTGTGGTCATACGCTTGCTTTTGGAATGACATTGTTGTTAGGTATGTTCCATGCTATATAGCTCGTGGCAAAAAAAACTTGTTCGACTTCGCATTTTCATAATTTAGGAAGCTTATTAATTAGAACGGTTTTCAATTGAGTGTAGAAAGTAATCAGGCAATTACTTTGGTTTTAGTTTCACTACGGTTTAAGATTAGCTAAGTAGTCTACTTGGCAAGTAATTGGTTTGGTTTAGGTTTCGCGGTACTCAATGCAATTGAAAGTCGCTCTAGAAAGAGTTGGTTGTCTTCTTGTTATGTAATCTTTGTCATGTGTTTAGCTTTCTGCATTTTTTAAAATTTTGTAATGCAACATTGACTCGGAAAAGCTCCGTGGGGACAAGCCAAAAAAGTATGTACTTATGTATGTCATTGTGGATGGTGAGTAGTGACAAGCTTACAAATTAAGGAAACAATACTTACTTGTAAACATCATTTTCTTTTTTATTGTAGCTAGCAAATCCTATCAGAACTCCAAAACCGATTGTCAGTGAATAGAGAATTTGTGATGCGGCATCGATCCATACCTTAACGAAATAAAGAAAAAGTTTTGCGAGTGGAAGCTTTTGGTTGAAAGAAATGCATCATAATTGCAATTGTAATTGTGCTTTATTTTTTAAAATTTTTTAAATTAAAATTGATTACAAATTACCATGACGAAAAAGAGGATTCGCGTGGTACAAGAGTTAGGGAATAAAGGGGCAAATCTTTTCTTTACAGGAAGTATTAACGAAAATAAGAAAATTGTAATCAGAACATTGGTTCATGGCTTTCTTCGCAGACATGTATCATTATATCTAAAATAGAGTCACGTATTTCGACAAATTTCGTCAATGGAAATATTTTTTTGACCAATCATGTGCAAAATCGAACCGATCGTCGTTCAACGGCTCACGTGATTTTTCTCCTGCTTCCAAACGTTCACGCTTTTTAGCTCTAGGTTCTGGATTCGTGTTTTCGCTTTTTATGGCCAAAGTGTTTGATTATGTGATTGTTCCTTTCTTTTTAGCTAATTGGCGATTTTAAATCCCAAAAGATAATATTGGAATAATAATAATAATAATAATAATAATAATAATAGCGATATTTACCTTCGGGTCTGTAAGTCTGGTCCAAACTGGTGTGACGTAATACATGATGCCGTCTATAGACCCCGGCAGCGTAATTGCTCGGATGAAAAGAATCACCAAGAACACGTAAGGTAACGCAGCTGTGACGTACACAATCTTTCCTGTAGTTCGAATGCCTTTCCAGATACAGAGATATACTAAAACCCAGGCCACAAACAAACAAGCGGCCAGCTTAGGGTTCAAATGACCAGGATTGTCGATCCCATCAGTCATTTCGAGAACGTTGTGTCTGCGAATATAAAGAGGAGTCAAAACCTCGGTATTTTTAATGTTGTATAATATTTAAAGGTCTCCTGATGACTGTCAGCTACCAATATTACAATCAAATTCACTTTCACATTATTGCATTCTTTTTGCACAGTTTTGGACAAGTTAACAAGCTATCAAACCTTCGGAATGCAAAAATTGTTTTTTGGGTTCTATTACGTAAGTAATATGGCTGTTAATGTTAACTGAAGCTGGCAGCAGAGAATTTGTACTTAAAATGCCATGCGAGGACCACCTAAGCAAAAAGAAGCAAATTGGCACCTTATCTTTCGAATCAGATTAGAATCAGCGATGGGCTTAAAATCAAATTTTGTAAAAAATATATAAGGTCGGTCAAAAAGCCGAAAGTAGGTTTCTTTCCGTAAAGTTTCGTTCAGCCTTACTCCTGAACGAAACTTGATGCTCTTACGTGGCATTTCGAGCGACCTGTCCTCTCTCTACTTATTGTACTCTGCATCTCTTATCAGGCTATACAATATCACGTCAGTAACTTACGTGAAGAACTCCTTGCTGGGAGATGCCGTGTTTGAGTTTGTCACATTTGTGGTGTTTAGCTCGTAGCACTGGTCCGTGTTCCAGGTATGGTGACACCCGACCCAGGGAATATCAGTTTTGAATGCGTGATAAAGGTAATATATACTCCACGCCAGGATTACATTGTAGTAAATCGACACCAGAAATGATACCATGATCATCGCAAAACCAATGCCTGGGAAAATATGATTATCAATGGAAATAGTACGCGTCTGGACTCCTTTCGTCAATCAATCAATCAATCAATCAATCAATCAATCAATCAATCAA